CAGATCAGACCCGATCCGTGGCTTTGGAAGGACCAGGTCATTGGGACAGATGGGCGGCAAGCAGGAGGTGAGCGGCTCTCTGCCTCCTGTCAATGCGCTCCTATTAGGTTCTAATGCCACTGCTGATCTGACAGGAAGTGAAGCTTCAATTGCAGCTCACCTCCTGCCCTTGCTCGCCATTTCCTTTATGAGCTCAATTCCAAGTTATCCTCAGACAACCTAATGCATAACAAGTACCCCCCCATGTCCTTGGGAGAATGGTCTTCAACTAAACTGGTCCCTGGTGTCAAAATAGTTGAGGACCATTGCTGTAGAGCACAACACAGGACATTAAGACAAGGTTTATAAATTATCATAACAATGACATTTAAACTCAACAGGATCATAAACCTACTTAGGACCAGGCCACCCTATGAGATGGATGACTTTTTCCTCTGATCCACAAACTGAAGAGATGCAAGGAAAATTCCAAATAACACAACAACCAGTTCTGCCACACAAGCCTTACTAGTTGTTCTTTTTAAAATTTTAGATATGGATTCAAATTCTCCACAAGCATAATTTTCAGGTTAGTCACCATCACTTGCAACTTTCTGGCACAAATGACGCAGCTGTAGAACAACTACTGAAAGAATGGATGGAAGTGGGTTCAGTACAGAATTCTGTCTCCTAATGGCCTGCTGCTTTGAGCCACAAAAGTAGTATTATATGTCTACTATCACAGTGGCTCATAATAATCACATTATTATGTGATTTTTCATTGGTGTTTGTGATCTATGTCCTATCCTTCAAGAAGCTCCCCATGACTTCTCCACTATCACCCCTAACTCTGAGAGATAGATTAGACAGAAATTAGCCTAATGTCATGTAGCCAGTTTTATGGCTCATCTGTCCTCTGAACAGAGGTCTTCTTGGTGAGGACCAAGTTCCTCCTCAGATACAGCATAATTATCTCTCAGACTGGCTCAGTTCAAACTAAGTTAAATGTTTGTCTAAATTATGGAAAGGCTAAACTTCACATAGCAGGTTAGTCTTCTGCAGAATAATGCAGAAAAAACAACCTATGAAATATAAAAGACTGCAGGGCAGTGACAAATTGCTAAATTCTCTTCCATATATACTGTACAAGACTTTCAAGAGGATATATCCTCAAATTTTAGACCCAAATTAAACTAGTTAACAAACACAGCTGCCTAATTAAGCTATAGTTTGTCAAACTGAAAAACAAGAATGAGATGCACATAGGTACGATATTCATAGATTATCCTTTAAACCCCTATCAAATGAATAAAAAAATATTCTCTTCAAATGAAAAGAGGCAAATAATGCATTAATACAACCACTATTGTTTCTTCATGCATTTATAACTATATACAGTATCAGTTTAAAATGCATGCTAAAATAAAAGAAGAACCACTTTACACCACTTTTCAGAAGGCTCTGACAACAGAAGCAGAACAAGAAGACTGGTATCCTACAGTCATTATCCAGGAGGAAGTAGCACGAGCTCAACAGGACTTACTGCAGAGTAGACATATAGGACTGCACTGTAATTCTGCATATAAACTCTCCATCTGTGAATTCTTCCATTCAGACAGTAACTAGTCAACTCACAAACTGGTTGCCCAGAAATATCAGGCCATTCTAAGCACAGATACAGTATAAGTGGATTACAAGACATGTCAAAAGTTTTCAATATTGGCAAAGTGTTGTGTTCTTTATTTCTTTATACTATGGCTAGATATTACTTCCAAAAATAGCAGACCCATTAAAATAAATGAGTTAATGATACATATCTGCATTCCATCAAGTTCAATTCATGGCAACCATTTCCAGGGTTTTTTAGGTACAGTATTGTACTCAGATAGGAGGGCCTGGCGTGCTCTGGTCCATGGGGTCACGAAGAGACTAGACTAAACGATTAGACACACGACTAGACTAAACGACGATGATTGTACTTAGAAGCAGTTTACAATTCCTTTCTTCTGGAGGTTTCCTGGGACTGCGTAGCTTGCTCAAAGCCATACAGGCTGGCTCTTCTAGGATGTACAATGGAGAATTGAACTCCCAATCTCCGGCTCAGCAGCCAGATACTTAAACCACTGAACCAGCTACGGGACTTGTTAGTCAACATTAATTTAAGTCTCCCGTTGATTACAATGGGCCTACTCAACCTGAGACTAAGATTTCATCTAGACCTCAGTCCTTTGAAAGCAGTCTAAAAAAATATTTTGCTACGTACCAAAATTTTATGTCTTTTGAATTTTGAACTAAATATTGTGGTTGGGACAAGAAATTAACAAAAGAGTGCTAAGTGTGAAGAATGTCCAAATGCAGTATCAAGCAGCATGAAGGGGTTTTCAAAAACGGCAAACTAATAAACAGTGTCATCATAACTCAGTCCCAAAATATGTCTTATAAAACTTCAGATGATTTATCAACCGTGATGAACACTTCTTTGCTCTCATGATGCCCTTATTTATGAGTTGGTAGGAGAAAAAAAGGATACCCAGTGCAGTGTGGGTAGAGTGACAGTCTAGGTCTCAGGAGGCCTGGATTTGAATTGCTGCTCAGCCATGAAAGCTCACTGGGAGCGTGGAACTGGTAAAACCACTCCTCAAATACGTCACTTACTATAAAAACCTGTAAATCAGTTCCAACTTTAGAGCACATAGTTACAAAAAAACGCTTTAGAGGTGCGGCCATGGGTCTAGTATGATCTTCTCACTGAACTAGTGAAATAAAAAGGGGGAGCCTATGAAGGTTTCACTGAACTAGAAACATGATCAACCTTCCTGCCTTCATAGGTAAGTTATTTTCACAATGGAAATGCCTGCACAGAGGCAACAAATGAACCTAAGCAGGTTAGAGAGAGCCAGAAGGGCTTTGGCTTTATTTAGTGGGAAAGTGTGGGCGCAATGGGGTGGAGGGAAGTACCAGAGTTATGCAAATACTTGCTACACCTGTTCACCCAGCCACAAAAGCCTTACTCGGCACCATGCAATGGAGTGTGGCTTCCACCCTCACAACAGCCAGGCCCTTCACAACCCTTTTTTCTCAATACACGGACCCAGTCTATATGACCCGCCTCGTGCTTGACGTCACAGAGGAGTGGGAGGGGGATTTGGAACGTTGAGGAGACGAAGATTCCAGCGAGCCCAGGCCCTTCCCTTTGTGACGTCAGAAGGACAACAAGAACCCGGCCCCGACTGGGCTGAGCGGCCGAGAACCCGGAGACTGGCGCTGACATTGCGCTTAACCTGTTGCTATCGCCGTGAGGATGCAGTCGAAACAACACAACACGTAGCAGCAAAAGGAAGGAAGGTCCAAAGCAGCGGCCATGCTTGTGAGCGTTATGCACTGCAGTGGCAAGATAACCCACATACTTCCCTCCCTCCTCAAAATCCTCCCCAGCATTTTTTTTCCAGCTTGACGAACCCGAAACTTGTGTGAACATATGAAACGTCTCTTCTTTCCAGGAGAGCGTGCCTTTCCAAAAGGGGGGTGAGAAGGGAGGAGTGATACTATTTCAAATTTTTTCCAGCAAGCTGCACGGGCAAGAGTAGAGTTGCATTGTTCACTCATACAGACAAGGAATGTCTTATAAGAGATTTTGGCATTTTAAAAGACACACATACACACACCCCGTTGCAAACTCCCCACCCCCTTTTTGCTTTGTTTCATTTCACTTTTAGCATGCACAACTCACATGTTCTTAGGAGGTGTTCTACATCAACACGTCTCTTCCTACAAAAATACTTTAAAATAGCCTGCTGTAGGTACTCAGTTCCTCTGCAATGCGGCTGCATTTTTAATTCGTAAATTGGTTGGAGAATTGCTTAAAGTTTCCCCATTGTTGTCAGGTTTCGCGTCTACCCAATATACATTTCAAGACAACAAAAATAACAGGAATACCTATGTAAAGTCTATTACGACTTTACGAAACATATTTCAAAAACGAGGGGGAAATATTTAGCTGACCCCCCCACCAGGACGTGGACACCCCCTCCCCAAAAAACTCCCAGCACCCAAATCACAGAGGCACCATAGAGCATACAACTTAGGTATCATCTCGTGTCACTTCCACTGGGATAAGAACATTTGTTTAAACAGAAGTCCTTTCATTCAGTGTTTTGCTTTTAAATCTCTATGAAGCCTACAGACTATTGAGCTAATCCACTCTGTTGCTGCACACTTCCAATGACGGCCCCCCCACCCCAGCCAAAAGGAAACTAGACCAACAGAAAAATGGCACGATCACAGCAATGTCTACACATATATGCCATTACAAGAGATTAGGCGGCTGACTGAGATTCATAGCTACAGACCATTAGCCAGAACGAAGGCTCTTCAAATTTCAAAGCATCGCTCTGAACGTTAAAGCTATTTCCCCATGAACGCACACAAAATTAGCAAAGTTCCCAGCCATTTTCGCCAATATTGAAGTTAGGCCTTCCAAATGCGTTCCTCGTAACATGATCCCCAACTGGTTTGGTTCTCCTGCGAGCCAGATAAGCAAACGAGTCGATCACACACGCTGGAGTTGATGGAGTAGGAGCAGCAAGCTCGACACAACCAGATATTCGATTTCAAGTTAACATTTTGGATAAGCAGCCACGGCCCCTTCCCAAACCCCTAAATATAGACTATAATACTGTTATTTGCATGCAAAGTGAAATATTAGTAAATCCGCTCGAGAAAGCAGTTTAGTTGCATTATCGCAGCAGCCCCCCGAGCTGCATGCCTTTCATCTTCTAAAACTAGATTATGATTGTGTCATTTGAGGTCAATACATTTATTCACTTGAGGTATCGCTACACGAATCTGGTTACTAAACCTGCTTTTCAATTAAAAGGGCCTTTCGAGATTCGCCCCCATTCCCACCGAAGGGAAAACCCAATCTTTTATGGCATTCTTTAAACGCACCGCTAAATATAAACTTGACATTCACGGACATTTCTAAAAATCGAAAAAATAAATAACACAGTATATCCACTTACGTATTTCTTTTGAATTATATTCCTCTTGGGTCTTTCTTTGCTCATTCTGATATCCAGATTCTGATTGCAAATGGGGACAATTGCTTCATGAATTAAAAGCCGCAACCAATTTGGGGGGAAAATATCCTTTTTCTGTTTGTTTCTTGTTTGTAGTGGTTTCTTGTAATCCGGCTTTCTTCGCAAACAATACAATTCTGGTTCCAATAAATCCAAAATATGTCGGGTGGTGGGGTCAAAAAAGCAAAAAGCCAAATGCAAAGCAGACCACCAAAACAAATCACTTTAGAGAAACATTAATAATCGAAATTTTACACCCTAAACACATACACACAAAAAAGCACCCTTGACGACCCCCGTTTCTTTCCCAATCCACTAAAGAGAAACGCAGGCCCGTAGTGTCCGAGGTGTCGTTGGCATCTTGCAAAAAATAATAATAATAATAATAATAAAAGAATAAAATGGGAAGATTTTTTTAAATGTTGGAAGTCACGTTTCTACTGCTGCAGCACAGACAACTCCAGCAGCAATGAAGGCTGCACACACTGTATGAGTCTCCGCTTCTTCAGTTCCCACACAGACACACACACACGTACACACACACGTACACACACAACCAAGAGCAGCTTTCCAACAGCAACTTTAAATGGCCCGATTTTTTTGTGTGTGTGAAAAAAATATTATATTAGGTATATAGGCAGGCAGGCAGGCAGGCAGACTGAGGTGGGGGAAAAGGAAGGAAGGAAGGAGGGGAGAGAAGGGTTAGGGCTTTGCCTCAATTCGTAGCGTGCTACCAGCCGCAAAAAATATCACTCCATATGCAACCCCGCGGCCGTATCCAAAGGAGAAGCTGATGCACATTTACAGCCGCCTTCCGATCGTCCCTCCAGTCGTCGTGCAAGCACGTCGGGGTCGCCTCTCCAGCTGGAGGCGCCGAGGGCAGCTGACGGTGCCCGGCCAGAAATCCCGGCGACGAATTTGAAGACAATCCCTGCTTTCACGACACGCTCTGTCGCCAGCTCTTCTCCTTTCTGTGTCTGCTAAGCTCTTTAATTGTCCTCCCTTGCCCTCCCCCCTCGCCTGGCGAGCCAACTCAGCCTCGTCCTGCTACATCTCCCGCTCGGTCAGCGCAAGGGCTCGCGAGCTATTTCCCCAGGACTTCTCCGGCTCGCGTGCAGGGGGAGGGGGGGGAGAAAGAAGCGGCGGCAGCGGCAGCTCCGTGCGGTGCCTCAGAATCGCCCTTGGTCTCTGGGAAAGTTGTAGTCCCCTCGCCACAAAATGGCTACAATAATGAAAGGGGAAACTACAAATCCCAGAGTGCGCGGCGCGCGCGGCGGCGGCGTCCTGATTGGGCGCGGGGAGAGGGATTGTCCTCGAGGCACCTTTCTTTCACCTCCGGCCCCGCCCCTCGGAGTGCCATCCCGGGCGGGAGCGGAGGCGG